CAAAGTCTTCCTCTGCACGAAGCATGTGATGCGCTTCACCATATTTTGGGGCTATGAACCATTAAAAAAATCAATTTCTGGAGCAATATTTTCTATGTTTATAATCTCTGAACTAATTACAGGACTGGAAAATCGATAGCTATCTGGAAATCTTTCCAATACGACCAACTAAGCATGCTACAGATGATGCTGGAATATATTATTCCCAAACACATGCTGCTCCTGACCATCTCCCACATCCCACAGGCAGATGATATCACTGTCAATAAACCTCTGTACTTCACTGCACTGCAATGGCAGCGTTTACCAAAATCTGCAGGGGGGATTGGGCCGAGCAAATCGCTGAGAGCTGGAGCAATTCTTGTGCCAGCATTTTAAACCAAAGACAAAAAAAAAAAAAAAAGAAAAAAAAAAAGAAAGACTCAGCTCAAGAGGAACCTACAAAAAAGATGATGAAATAAAGTGATTAAAGGTTAATGCCTTAGTTACAATGTTGTTTTTTCATCAGGCTTTATTAAAATTAAAAGTAGACTGAAAAGAAGCTCTTTCTCTAATTTCCTAGCAAGAGAAAATCAGTGTTAAATGGGTGGTTTGATGGTGATTGCACTTCGGAAACACACGTAAAGAGGAAGGGTGTAGCTCTGATGAACAGATCTCCTCTTGCTGTACAAACACACYGTGTTGACCGAGGCAACTCAGCTGGAACCAAAGCTCAAACCCTTGTGCTGGTGCTCTCCATCACTTCCCTCACGGTGGGAAGTGGGCATTGCTTCCCTCGTGATGGGAATGGCWTTGCTGGGATCTTCCCCAAAATATTCTGCCCTGAGAGAGCTCAGCGTGCTCTCCCTGCTGGGCTGGAGCTGGTGCTGCTGCTAAATGAGGACAGCAAGCACAGGATTTTCCCCACAATCCCATTTGCACTCCTGCTCGGTACAAGAATGTGACAAATTCTGACCTGTCACAATTCCACAAAATACTTGCTCTGATTTTATATGTTTTCCTTTGATTATTCTCAATAGCTTTTTCATTTTTTTTTTTAACTGAACAGAGGAAAAGCAGGATTTGGGGACATCTCTGCCCTCATTCTTTCCCCAAGCCCACAGCTCTCCAAGGTGGTGATCCTGCTTTGAGTCCAGCAGACTGTGAATTTAAGGTGCAGAAATCCCTTGTGCCAGCCCTCATTTCAGGAGACAAGCCATGATTTAGAGCCACTCCTAAATAAGAACTTGGCAGGCTGGTTGTGCTCAAAGAACTTTAATTTTGGAGCTGAGCACGATGCATGCAATGATCTGGATTGTAAATATTGTTATTGGCAATTTCTGTTTGCATTTCTGCAGCACTCCCACGCGCTGCTGAGGAGCTCCTGTGCACATTGGGACAAATAAAGGAGCCCCTGAGCTGCTGAGAGCGTGCCCAGCCCTGAGAGAGGCCAGGGGTGTTGATCACCCAAAACTCACACTCCAGTGTGGCTTTGCAGAATCCGTCGCTTTCTGCAAAAACTAACAATTAAAAAATACCATGCTTATCATCACCACGGTAAAAATTTCCCTTCTAACTCCTGAATTTGTATAATTCTTCCTTCAACACAGTTCACTTTTGGCTTTGCAATGCCTCTGCCACCTGCTASTGTTTAATCAGAAGCTGCTTTAAACCTCCTACCTCACCTTTTTCATTTAAATTCCTTTGCTCTCGTGATAACAAAGGCAGCTCACACAGTTAAGCAGGACAAATTCTGATGGTCCAGTTTGCAAAGCCAACAGACTCCTATAAAGGCAGGATAACACAAAGTCTGGCCAAAATCCCAGGAGGGGAATTTCAGAAGTGTTTTTCCCACTGCAAGCCAGGACCAGTGGGAAAAGCATCTTTGCTATTTGTTACATCTTTCCTGTTAATGAATTTCTGGCTCAAATTAGAGTTATAATAAAACWCTAAAAAAATCTACTTTTGGAAAAAAAACAAAATCCAGATCTGTTCTTCCTTCCTGGAGACTCACTGCTTGTTCTGCAACAGGAGACGTGAATCATGAAGTATTTATAACAGCAAAATTAAGAAATGTTCATTCAGGCACCAGAAATCCATATGAGAAATTATGGCTTTAAATAAATTGTTTATTGCTATGTTAATCTAATCTTGTAAATACATACACACTTAACTATATTAAAAATGTAAATGCTCCCAGAACTAGACTTCACATGATGAATATACACATATACACTCTCCCTTTTTTTTTTTTTTTTTTTTGTCAGCTCTATAGGTCTTGGGAAAACAAGGTTTGATGGGCATTGAAAAGGTTGATTTCTGCACAGATTTAGCCAAAAGATTGTCACGTTCATCTCAGGCTCCACGTGGCTCACAGGACTGARCCTGAAGAAACATTTTTGAACATCCGCTGGTGACAGAGCGATTCCAGCTCCRGGAGTGCCTCCAGCCAGCAACTTCCCTTCAGTGGCACCGAATTTGCATTCATTAAACCCAGAGTTTTAATGATTTATGGAGATTTGTAAAAAAAAAAAATGTCAGCCCAGAGCTGCTGACACTCCCAAAGCTTCTGACAGAAGTRCAACATATCGTAAATCCATCCCTCTGTGAAATATTGAATGAAAACCAGCACAGCCATATCTGCAAGTGTTAAYATGACCCACAAAACCAGGGATTCTAAAATTATTGGTGTGCCCCAAACCYGAGGAGATAGTCAGACATATAATGACAATAATATAATAATTACAATGTTATGACTAACACTACTAACATATTTACCAGTCTCCTTGTCCTTATTTGTTATCATCATCACCCTGATAATTCTCAGCTCTAAGGTTGGACAAAGGCAGAGATGGCCTTGTGCTTTCAGAAACAAACTCTGTGTTTTGGGAAACAAATTCCAGCTTCTCCTATCCCTTAAAACAGCCACAGATCCTTGGGATAAACCCCAGGAGGGCTCTGGAGGAGCAGACAGCAAGGTGTGCACTGGCTCATGCTGAGCCCCAGGGCTGGAAAAAGTGGAGTTTAAACAAACACACCCCTGGGACAGACTCCTTTTTATTTACAAGTGAATCAGCAGARATGGCAAGGCTGATCGACCATGCCTGCCCAGCATCTCTGAAAGATTTTAACAGGAGACAGAACTCTTCCAGGTGACCTCTGTCCTGCCTTGGCACAGCTTCTCCCTTGTTACCACAG